ATGAATCCAATTACTGAAGATGGTCCCAACACATTCTAATCTTCTTCGAGCAACTTGATTTGGACTACGTGCTGCTAAAGTCACCTCCACCTTCCACTCCGACGACAAGTTCAGTTACACCTGATACTACCTCTATTGGTGAAGAGGTTGTACCCAATTCATTCGTTTATATCAACAGTTTCAGACATAGTTTTAATTCAGAAAATTAATAAGATTAATATATGATTTTGTTGTGAACGAATTTACCCCTGGACTAAGCCCATAAATAGAAAAGTTTTCTAAGCTTCTCAACTCACTCTAAACTCTCACAAATCCTCTCAGCCTGAAGCATTCAAAGCTTATTTTCTATGTTGCTATCAGAAGAGCAATACCACCGGCAGTCCACTCCGATTTCGGGTGTATGAATTCTAAGAGCAACCGTGTTAACCTCAAGGGACGATCCATCTATTGCAGCTGTAATACCCTAATTTTGTCCTAAAGTTAAAATGGAAACAGAATGTAAGGAACAAACTTGCAATTGTATCTTTTTTAATTTTTGGGACTTTAAAAGCCAAAAAGAAAGCACAAAGAAGACCCCCCGGTTTCTTGTAAAAAAACAAAAAAAAAACATGGTTTTTCCTTCTCCTTTCTTTTCTTTCTTTTTCAGGATATAATAGATGCATAGGGGTGGCCACCGTTGAGCGGTGGCCGGAGTGTGAGAGAGAGGCCATCTCTCAGCCAGGAAGCACCGACTGTTGGTGGCTGTTGGTAAGCTCGTAAGGTCCTTCGGGGGCTTTGGTCGAGAGCAAAGAGAGGGAGAAAAACTTGGTCTCTTAGACCTTTGTTGGATTTTCCTCGTTCAGTTTGGGCGTCGGTCGGAGTTCGAGTGTTCGCCGTTGAGCGAAGGAAGCGTGGTTGTCGGCGTTGAGGCTCATTTTAAGCCTTTCGGCGTAGGGAGAGAAAGAACGAGAGAGAGAGTTTAACCAGGGGAAAGTTTTGGTCGTTTAAGCCTTCGATCGAGCTTATTTTGGTCGTTTCGGGGTCACCGGTTGGAGTAGGGTGGTCATTGGTCTGGTGGCCAGCGTGTGAGGGACGGTGTGTGGTCGGCCGTGAGTTGAGGGAGAAATGAGGTAGGTTTATTTTTGCTAGTGGAAATGCAAATAGGGGGAGATTTTTTTTAATTTTTGGGTTAATCACGAGGTAAGTCTCTAATCTTAACATGTTATCACTCTTGGTAATTTTGGGGGCTAATCACCTGTAAGTCCCTCCACTTCTGCCTTTATTTTATACTGTGGCCACTGATCTACTTGGATTTTATGTATTCTAATTTTAGCCTGTTGTTTTGTTTATTTTTAATTTGGTTACTGATTTATTCTAAATTGTTATTTTATTGCACATTAACTATGACGTATTTTCTTACTTTCTAACCATGGTTTATATATTTATTTATTGTTTCTATTATTACTCGACCTTGTGGTGACCCTATCCGGGATAAGATCCACATTATCATGGTTCAAACTCTCTTAACCACTAACTTTTTTATTTTAGTTTATTTTTATATATTTGTTTACGTTATTCGATTCGACCTTGTGGTGACACGATCCTGGGTAAGATCCACATTATTATGGTTCGAACTCTACTAACCACTAACTTTTTTATTTTATTTATTTTATTTTATTTTTATATATCTGTTTGCGTTATTCAATTCGACCTTGTGGTGACCCGATCCGAGGTAAGATCTACATTATTATGGTCCGGACTCTACTGACCACTAACCACTAACTTTTCTAACTTACTAACATTTTAAGTTTTGTTTTATTGTTAATACTAACATATTGACTTTTTATTTTTATTTTTATTTTTATTGTTCTTATTAACTTACTAACATTTATTTTATTGCACAAACTAACCCGCAAATTTTCTAACATTCGAATATTCAACGACCTTGCGGTGACCCGTCCTGGGGGACGCTACACATTATTTATGGTCCGAGTTAAACGGTTAAAACAACACATAACCTTTAAATTTATGCAATTTATTTCTTTTTTATTTATTTATTTTGCTGCACTTTAATTTTCCCGCATTTTATTTCAGTCCCTTTTAATTTCCAGAATTTAATTTTTTTTGTATTTTCATTTAAGCATCTTAACTTACACTTCATTTTATTTTAGTCACTGATATGTAATGTGGTATATTTATTTTTAATGCCTATACTTTTAACTATTTACGTTTGAACTTTATTTATTTATTTATACTCTTATTTGGTTGATATTTTAATCTTAGTTGTTTGTTTATAAAGTTTGCATGTTGGTGCTTTGTTTATGCTAGTAGGCTATTGATGTTTGACTCGTATTTTAGGGCAAAAGTGCCCATATAATGCTACAGAGAGTGTTTAATTCTCAAACTAACGTGCTTCCAACATTATTTCTCGATCTAACGTATTTTCTACAGTAATCACCTAAAAACTCCATGATATCTCGACGTCTTTGGGCTAAAATTTTCATACATGGATTACTCAGCGTCTTTAGTTAATTTTTTTCTGTATACTGTGCATTTTTGGAGATTTTACAAAAAAAATCGCCTTTTCCTTAAATATTTACGTTTCAGACACCCTTTGAGATAATATTCCTGATCTAACACCCTTTGACACACGCACCATATAGGCACGGTGCATGGGTCGCGCATTGAATAATTATATATGTATTTCTCGGCTTTTAAACTTTTCTCTCGGCTATAAATACGCTCTCAACCCGTAAACATTCACAACAATCCTCTCAACTAGGAGAATGTCGTCGCTTCAGTACAGATATCCAACATCATTGTTTCCGTTAATTTATATAGATTTTCATCCAAACGAAGCAGACCACTTTCCATTTTATAACTGCAAAAAAATAAAATATTTAAATAAAATAATAAAAAAATTAAATAATACAACAATTAAATATAAAATATTAACAAAATATTAAATATAACGAAGCAAACCGCTTTTCATTTTATAACTATAAAAAATAAAATATTTAAATAATACAATAATAAAATAAAATACTAACAAAATATTAAATATAATAAAATATACCTTATAAATAAAATTTGAACGAGGTTTGATTTTTTAGAGAATTTGAGAGGATTTGGTGTGGTGAAAATATTTGAGAGTGGGGGTATTTATAGATGGGATGGATGGTGTGAATAGTCAGTTGGGTCGGTGGGATGGATGATGATGATGATGATCCGTAATATTTTATAAAATTATTTATATTTTAAATTACTTACCCTCAAAGTTTTCCTAGAATATACTATACGTATAGGATTTTGAAAGGGTCAAAAACGCATCAAAAAGTGCCAAGTGGTAATTGATAGACATAATTGTATTGTGTAATTTAATGCATGAATAATTTTATAGAAAGTAATTAAAAATTTGCTAGATCTGTAAAATATTCTTAAACAGTGCCTAACAAGTAATTAATTTATGTTAAGGTGATATTTGTGTAAAAACGCTAATTTTTTTTTTTCTAAATCTTAATTAAAGACGCTTAGAGATTCAAGAAACAATCCAACACCCCTAAAGACGTCGAAAGATCTCAAAACACTGTAGAAAACACCATATATCATGAATTAATCAGATGAGTGCATTAGTTTGAGAATTAAAAATTCCCATATCATTATTTGGGCACTTTTGCCCGTATTTTAGATTCAAAATAGAACTTGGTTATCTTTATTATTGTTACCCTTTTATGCACATACCTAGATTATTATTCAAATTTTATTTTCTTTATATAAATCATCATTTTTTTATGTATAGAAAAGATAAATTTTGTTGTGAGGGAGATCCATGAAGACATCTCCCGACTACAAGGGAAAGTGCATTTCAATGATTTTTTCGTACAAAAGGTTTTTCGTATTCGATAGTCTTCTTCGTTTTTATTTTTTTATTTTTCTTTATATCGTTCCATTTTTATTTTACCTTATTTTTATTTTTGATTTAAAAGATATAATACAATGTCTTTTTGTAAAAGTCTACTAACTACAAAGGAAATGCATTTTCGAAGATTGTTCGCACAAAAAGAGCATTCTTTTCTCCGAGCATTTCTAAAAATTTAATATAATACTATACTCTTTTAAACTATATCATCCATAAAATTAAAGAAACACCATTTTGTGAGGGCTTCTTACTTCTTAGACATCAAACTTGGAAGAATGTTATGGGAGCTTCATTTGATACAAAATATACCTATAGAGATCGTGAGTTATAGAAGTTCAAAGTAAGCTAGATGCGAATCAATTTGATTTTTTTAAAAGGAATAAGTTGTTTTTGCATGTGTTTATTTTTTATTTTAATATTTGATATATTTTCGATATAAAATAACGAGTATTGAAGAGATTTATGAATCTTAACAACTTATGAATCTTAACAACTTATGAATCATACGAGGGTTCTAACAGGGCGATGTTGGAGATGGCACTAAAGAAGCAAAAGTTTGAAGACAAAGATTTGAACCTACTCTTGCACTAGTTATCGTCTTTAAATGCAAGGCATTATCATCATGGGTAATTTTTCTAGTTTTTTGCTGAGATTTTGATGGCTCTTTTTTTCTCAAAAATTGAGCAGTTTTTTGAGATTCACATGAAGGGAAATAATTATTATCAAATTATTTATTCGTATCTTGTGAAATTATTATTATTAACAGGGAAAATTAAAAAATATCAGGCAAAATATTCATCAAGAAGAGCCATTTTAGACAGAGATAGAACAATGCTCAATGACAGAGGAAAATAACTAGTTCTCGCAGCAAATTCGATTATCAGAATTTCCTTCCTATTCCAAGACAAGTAGAACAACAAAACAAACAAATAGCAAACAATTGTAACATCAATCAATTCTTGCAATCAATGCAGAATCAACATTTCCAAAACTATCACCATACAAGTTTCTATGTTAACTTTACCTGAAATTAGCAGAGCTGATTGCATAATTCATCTAACATTCATAGCTGCAAATGAAGCGGAAGCAGCTAATTCAAAACAACCGGCAAAGAACTGCTACAATTTCACTTCTAACCAGCAGATTCTTTGGCCTCTTGAGTTTCAGGCTTCAGCATTACCATCACTGCAAGAAGACAAACCAAGTTCTTTCTCGAGCTTCGTCCATGCATTCAAAAAGTTAGGAGGAAACGTCTTCTTTACCGTCCTGATCAACCATTTAGCGTCCTTGGTCATCTTTTTCATCACCAATCCCTCTGCCAAATACTTCAATGTGTTAAAATCTGGAATCTTATTTAACCTTACGCTCTCTTTGAACACCTTATAACCTTGCTCGTGCAATCCATTTAAACACAAATAAAACACCATAGTCCTAAAAGTAGCCGCATTTGGGTTGCACCCATTACTTTTTAATCCTTCATAAACCTTCTTAGCTTCATCCAACATGCCTCTCTTAAAATAACTTGTCATTAGATAATTATAACTAATGGTATCCGGCTTCAAACCCAGGCTGCTCATATCATCAATCAGCTCCTTCACTTTCTCCGGATCTCTGCCTTGAAAGCATGAAATTCGTACGTTATAAGCAGCAACATCTAATTCACAACCGGTCTTCGTCATCTCAAACCACAAAATCTCAGCCTCCTTTGTTTTCCCCTTCTTATACAAAGCATTTAAAATTGTTGTATAAGTAACCGTAGTCACCTCAACGTTTTTCCTTTCCATCTCTCTTAAAACCTCGAGCCCTTTCTCCGGATTACCAGCTTCGCAATAAGCTTTAATTAAAATCCCATAGGAAACTTCGTCTGGTGAAACGCCTTCGTATTTCTTGGGAATTTCGTCGAACAGTTGGGGGACTTTATCAAACTGCCTCCACTGGCTGCAAGCAGAGAGTAAGGTGTTGAAGGAAATGGTTGATCGTGGGGTACCAAATTGGTCCATTTGATGGAAAGTTTTGATGGCGTGATCTAACATGCCAGCGATCCCATACGATCTGATGAGAGTGGAGAGGAAAGGCTCCTGAGAAATCTTGGGGTCGTTTTTGTGGGACTCGATTAAGGATTCGATCTCGGAGAAACGGCGGGACTTGGCGAGGCGGCGGACGGTGAGGTCTTGAGCGTAGCGTGAAGAAAGGGAAGAGCAGTGTTTGGAAACGGAAGAGTAAATTTCGAGGGCATTGTCAGGGTCGTATTCAGTGAGGAGTTTGCTTTTGGCTTGGGAAAATGAGATGGAGGATGAGTTAACGCCAGCTGCGACATTGGTGGTGGTCGAAAAGCGGCGGAGGTGGCGAAGACGAATACAAGATGACATCTTTTTTGGGGACTTCGAGGTTTTGGTTAGGGTTTTAGACACGAGAGAGAGAGAGAGAGACTCTTAAACCCAATGAAAGATCTTTTAACGTTTTTTTTTTTTGAAATATTGTTAAGTTTGTTAAATGTTCTATGATTTTCTTTAATCATTGTCAATCAGATACAACCATGAATTCTTTGTCAAAAAATATTACATACTAATAAAATAAATATTATATTTGCCATGTGAACGAATCGATTCTCTTTATTGTATTAATAAGATAACTATTATATTTATCATATAAATTAATCAAATTTCTATTTTGAAGCGAAGCCAAGCAAAAGGTAGAGAAATCACTAAAAATAAGCAACAACAAACTACATAATTTTTTTTCTTAGAGCATAGCATATTACATACTCGACATTAAGTGCATACCAACATCACAATTACAAAAATTGTGGGCGTGGGCGTGGTCGTGGAAAAAAATTCTAATAACTCAAGTCAAAAACCTAAGCATGAAAGAGCCGGTTCGCACAACTATAATACATGGCAGATAAGATCCGACATTAGGCCTCATATTCCCCCCGAGCAAATTTGTCCTCTGGATAGAATACAGCAATTGCTTGATTATCACCGAATCTCCTTCCATTCATGTCTTCAACAATATCCCCATACTCCTCGTCATCTCTAAGATCATCTTCGCTAATTGCTTGAGTCAAGCACACAACCTTTGTGGGCACACCTTGTGGTTGCAAAATAGGCCTCTGACAAAAGAAAAGGACTCAGAAAATTAGCCTATAATCTACAATGATAATTGCAACAAACAAGAATAAATTTAGAAGAAAAGAGTAATACTTATTCTTACCTGCAAAGCAATCTACTGCTGTGCATGCTGGAGGATACTCTCCTGCTCAGGTATAGGCTGGGTAGTACCTTGGTTTGCTCGTCTAACAGTGAGAGTTTTATCACCCATTTTAATTCCATTTAAAGCAGCACAAGCAATGTCCGTAACCGACAGATCTTGATAAATGCAGAAGGCATAACCTTTCGAGTTTCCTGTTTCTCTATCTTTTACTAGATCAAAACCTCGAAGGGGTCCAAAAGACTAACAACTCCCTGATTTGTGCTTCAGTGAAGTAATATGGAAGCCCTCCAACAAAAATGCGATCTGGACCCTCAAGCCCACCAGCAGATCCTGGAGATAGACCCACAGCAGCTAGATTAAGATTGGGACTAGGCTGGCTTGGACCAAGAGTTGCAGCTAGCGAAGGTTTATAATCACCGGATCTCCTAACCTTCACAGGCGCTCCCTAGAAATTCAAACAGGTCATTGCAAATTTTGTACTTAAATCACTTCAGTATGAAGATCCCAAAGAAAATAAAATACCTAAAAAATAATGCCATCTAAAGCCATTGCTTTACTAGCTTCCTCGACTGATCTCATCTCTACAAAAGCAAACTTCTTTGCATGGTTTATGTAGACATCAACAACAGCATCCCCTGAATGTAACAGAAAAGAATGAGAAACTATAGACATTAAATTTTTGCCAGTTTTATTTTTATTATTATTATAATTGTTATAATTATTATAATTATTACTATTATTATTATATTTTTATTAATAAATAATATTATTACATATTACAGGCCCAATACCTGGAGCCCAATTACAACAGTACCCAATATTCTAGACCCAATATCCGGAGCCCAGTTCTGGCCCAACTGAGCTAGCTCAATGGAAACCCTAAACTAATTAGGGTTTAATCTCAACTCCAGCCGCCAATAATCATCCACCGTTGGATCTGATCAGATCCAACGGTCCAGAAGCCTCCAGCTGAAACCCTAGGGTTATGATACCCTAGGGACAAGCGGCCGCCGCCTCTGTTGCCGTCGATCTACGGCTCTCCACGCCGTTTCATATACTGCCACGGCGCCAACCGAGAGCCTCCAGAAGATTCAAAACCAGCCGTCCACGTTAAAGGCCACTGTGAGTCACCACTAAAGTTTGGTGACTCACCAAACTGCCACTCTATTATCCGGTCCAAGATGAGATGGCTATAAAGCCATCAACCGAACTTGTAAAAAAATAACCAGAGGAAAACGAGCAACCCAACAACCACTAAAACACCAAAATAACCAGGAAAAGACGGAGAGATACTTACCGAGGAAGCCACGCCATTACCGGAGTTCATACGAGCCTCCACGCATCACCAAAAACCTTCGAAAACCGAAGGTAGTTCTCTAGATTTGCTCCGATCGGGAGCCATCTAAGGGAAAAGGACACCAGAACCGTCATTAGGACGGTCCGATCTACATTTTGGTGTAAAATAAAATTTTCCGGCCACCGGATGCTGTGGCCGGCGGTAAGGTTGGCGGCGGCACAAGGCTGTCGGCCGGTGCTCTCTCTCTCTCAATTTTAGAGAGAAGCGAGAGAGTTTAAAACTCTCTCAGTTTAGAGAGAGAAGAGAAATGAGGAATTGGCCCGAAGGGCCGGTTATAATGGGGTATAAATACCCTCACCAAAACGACGTAGTTTTGGTGAGGGCCTTTGTGTAATTTCGTGCATGGCTAAACTATTCCCTCAGCCACTGTAACCTTGAAAACTTGCAATTTGATCCTTATAGCATGTTTTTATATATATATTATAATTCGGTCTATTAATTTTTATTCAATATAATTTAGCCACTGATTTACTTATATATATTTTAGGTAAAATAACCGAAATAACCACTATAATTTTGTTAAATAATATTTTAGTCCCGACCAGCATGTTTTAATTTGTTTTAATTTAATATTCGAATTTAATATAATTTTAATTTAGTCACTAAATTAATAAATATGTAAAATAACATGATTAGACACTGAAATTTTAATAAGTTAATTACGAATTAGATATTTATTTTTAATATATTCCAATTTAGTCATTAGCTTTAAAATTATTAGTTTTATTATATAATTTTAATTTCATTTATTTTAGTTGTTGATTTAATTTTATATGTTTATTTGCAATATATTATTAGTATTATCATTATAAATATATACATATAATAAATAATATTTATTTATTTATTTTTTATAAATTATTTTTATAAAGAAAATATAATAATAATCCTATTTTAATAATATTAAAGAAAAGGATTGTCTTAAAGCACCTAGAAGTCCGTTTTCTGATATTTTTTATCCTATAAAATATATATTAATTTTTAAAGAAATATTTCATCAATATTTATATAGAAGAAAAGAGCTATCTTAAAGCACCTAGAAGTCATTTTCTGATATTTCTAAATAAATAAATATCTTATTTAAATAAAATTAATAGATTTTCTTAAAATTTTACTAATAAATTTGAAATGACAAAATTATAGATTAAATATATTTTTGAATAATTAAAATTCTAATAATAGAGACAATTTATAATTAATGAGTACCAAATTTTGGACGTTATAGGGGTGCTAATCATTCCCTAAACGTAATCGACCACGAATCATGTTTTACTAAAATTTTTGGTTATACGCAGATCAATTTTATCTTTTAAATTATGTTTTATTCAAAACTATTTTAAAAGATTATTTTTTTAGGTATTTGACCTACCTAACCCCAAAAGGTCAATGGTGACTCCCAAAACATGTATTTTAAATCAAAATCATTTTTATCCACATTATTTTTCCCGCCAAGTAAAATTTCGTGCCCCGGGCAAAAACCGGTTACGATAGCTTGGCGACTCCGCTAGGGACACCTGGTCAAGCTTTAAAAATCAATTATAAATTGTCTCTATTAATTAGAAATTAAAAATTCATATATTTGATTTTTAATTCTTTCTTTTCAAAATTTTTATATATACTTATTATTTTCATAATATTTATATGTATATTATTTTATTAATGTTTCATTTTATTTTCAAGTATTTTATTTCATTATTTATTTTTCTGTCATAGGTTTGAACATTTCTCCTCACACACAACACATGCATTGCATAACATAAGCTTTTTAATCAAGCTTGTCCCTTTTAAGTGGGAGTGAAAGCGATGTCTTCGTGAGAATTTATTCTCTGTGTCAGACCTAGCAAGTAGCTTTCGGGGTTCATATGCTCTATGTCTTCATGGGAATTTATTCTCCGTGTCAGGCATAGATAAGTGTATCTCCTCGAATTGAACTCGATCCACTTTAGTCTGTGATGGACTAGGATTAAGGGTTAGCAGCCCAAGAAGGCACTAACAAGGACAATTCGGGTACCTTTACTCTTAGAACTGAAACTCTATATATATAATAAACCTTAGAAACTCTTCTGATCTGAAGCCATGACAAAATTTTGTCCAAAATAGGTGTACACAAAGGAGAAATGATTTCTAACTTTTTCCTTTTAATTAATTAATTTATTTTTTTGCTAAATAAATTGCATGAAAATTTAAATTATTTAAGTATGCTATGTAGAAAGCATGTTTAATTAGAAATATTTGGATAGATGTTATTAAATTAATTTTCACTTCTTTATTATGTGAACTAATTCATTTCTTTTTGTGCGTTCTGTTATTTTTGCATAGCATCATACATGATTAAAGGTATTGATCCTCGTGTTAATTGTCTCATTGGAAAGCCTTTATCTATGGATAAAAAGTGTTCAAATCAATTAGTTCCAAACTCAGAAGTAAAACAGTGGGTTGAGGACTTACAAAGACAAGGGGGAGACCGTCTGCAAGATGACTATGTATCCGAGTTAGCTAGTTTTGCTCCAGTTTCTCTAAAAAGAAATGATATGCAAGATCTACGAGGCATTTGGGAGAGTTGGGACTCAAACAAAAAGTTACAATTTTATCAGACTTACGGGGACATCCCATATTTGCTCTATGTAGAAATTGATGATGACTTGCTTCAAGCCCTGATTCAATTCTGGAATCCTGGTTATAATTGTTTCACTTTCAATAAGGAGGACTTGGTTCCTACTATTTAAGAGTACACAACTTTGCTACATATAGAAGGGGCCTTGGAAAATCGAATTTATTCAAGGTCAGTTAAAACTCAACATTTCCGAGTTAAATTAGCAAAGATTGCCGGAGTACGAGAGG